CAAAACTTTATGCTTCTGATATCTGAAATCAGGATCGGGAAGAAAAGAGAATAGTGTGGGAACAGTAGGAGCCAGGAGGCTCTGTGGAGGCCTCCAGCAAGTTCCTGAGACAAGCAGGAGAGGGATGGAGGAGAGGGGCCTTGTGGAGAGGTGGTTTCTCTGTCTATGTTGGAGCTGTGTGGTGCTAGCTTTACTTTGACCTTGAATTTAAGTCCTGAATGGTGGGAGACAAGGCACTGTTTCCTCGGGGACAAGGAATTTAAAGAAGGTTGGCTACGGGACGCCTGGGTGGCTCAGTCGGTTAAGCGTCTGCCTTCAGCTCAGGTCATGATCCCAGGGTCCTGGGATCGAGTCCCGCATCGGGCTCCCTGCTCCACGGGGAGCCTGCTTCTCCCTCTGCCTCTGCCTCTGCCTCTCTCTATCTCTCATGAATAAATAAATAAAATCTTTAAAAAATAAAGAAAGAAAGAAGGTTGGCTTGCACCAGCTCTAGAAACAGACTAAAATGTTCGAGAGGCACTTGAACTGGAAAAGGGTTGGGTCTGCGTGACTGCAGAAGGATTCAGGCCCGAGATGGCTCTGAGATGCTCTCCAGATAAATCTGGCCTCGGCTACAGTGCTGAGTGAACCCTGTGCCTCCGCCTGCGCACATTGTTTGCGCGGGGTTTTCCACTGAGAGGTGTAGACTGGTTCCCAGCATTCCTACCCTTGGCCTGAGTGTATGCTGTAGACATCCTGCTCCTGAGGGTAGCTGAGGAGAGTAAAGAACGGAAACTTTTACTGGAACGGTAGCCTCCAAGGAGAGCCTTCCCTGGGTCAGCTCCAAAGAGAGCAATTCTCGATTATCGGTGCCAGAGGCTGCCTCTTCCCAGACTGACTTAGGAAGAGTTTACCCTCCTTTCTCTTTCTGTGAACCCACCACCTCCCAGTCCATTTTCTAGACAATGATGCCACCTAATGGGAACCAAGAATAACTCACAGAGCATTTAAGTGAGGATACTTACACTTTTTAATGTAACTCACATTTCCCGGCCTTGTCCTTTGCTACCTATTCAGTGCTGTGTACCAGCTTCTGATGGGGCCAGACTCAACAGCACATGGGCAGTCAGGGTTTCATAATGCTAGAAAGTATGTTTAGATGGGTATACATACATACATTAAAGAATCACATTGTACACTTCAAATATATTACACTTTTATTTGTCAGTTATACCTCAGTAAAGCTAACAAACGGGGGTACCTGGGTGGCTCAGTCGGTTAAGCGTCTGCCTTCGGATCAGGTCATGATCCCGGGGTCCTGGGATCGAGCCCCTCGTCGGGCCTCCCTCTCCCTCTGTGCTCGCTCTCTCTCGCTCTCTCTCAAGTAAACTATAAAAACATCCTTTAGGGGCACCTGGGTGGCTCAGTTGGTTAAGCGACTGCCTTCGGCTCAGGTCATGATCCTGGAGTCCCGGGATCGAGTCCCGCATTGGGCTCCCTGCTCGGCAGGGAGTCTGCTTCTCCCTCTGACCCTCCCCCCTCTCATGTGCTCTCTCTCATTCTCTCTCTCTCAAATAAATAAAT